CTGCGTGCCCCCCCCTCCCTGGACAAGCCACTAATGGCTCTGTCCCCTGCCCCGCCCCAGTTGTGCAGGGCTTGGCCTTCCCTCACTGCCACTATGGGGGTAGATCAAGACCCCAGCAGTGAGGGAGGAAGTGGAGCTATGTTTGGGGCCTTGATCTGCCCTGCCCCCACCCAGGCCCTTTCCCCTCCTCTCCCCACAGACGTATCTGCTGGGGGAGGGGGGGGTAGATCTTCAGTTCCTTTTAAATTCCAAAAGTGATCTCCAACCTGAAAAGCTTGGAGACCACTGGTGTAAGGGGTAACCAGAGCCATGTAAAAAGCTCTTAAGGCACTGAGTACTGGCACCTGAACAGCAGCATGGGATCGGGGATCCGTGGGGCAACCTCCCTTTCCAAGGATCTAATAACTATAAGGTGTGGCAGATAAAGTGAAGGGGAGCAAGCTTTTGAAGTGAGGGCAGAGCAGGGGATGAGAGGCCACCAAGGGACATCACAGTCATCCCTGGAACCCAGCACATGCTACAGCAAATGGCTGCTAACTCAGTGCTTCCTGACTCTTTTTTTTTTTGGCTTCTCAGCTGGGGACCATCTGAAAAATTGCAGGTCCAAGTGAATTGTCAGTGCCTGTGGCAGAATCAGGATTAAAATCCAGGCTTCTTAATTTTCATTACTCATGATTTAAGTATGAGTCTATGCATTGCCTCCCTTGGCATAAACAAGCAAAGCCCATATCCATATCCTTCACAGAAACAGACAACTCATCCCATGTCCCTCCAACATCTGTGAGATTCCCTGCTTTTTTGATGCAACTCATATTATCTGAATGCAGATTTGAAGCATGTACAAAGAACGTAATTTTACCATATTAGAATAAATCATATCATCCATTACAGAATTTACAAGAGACCAATCACAGAATAGCAGCCTCTGCCAAACCATAATCATTACAAATTGTTAAATCCTCAAGAATTAGAGGTAAAACTACCTGAAACCTTAATATGTGACTACTTGCTATAACCTGATAAATTCATGCACTCCAGTACCAATGTCTGACTATTCTCTGGGGATCTGAGCAAAGCCACGCACTGC